GTGGTTCTTGTTATGATTGCAAGATGCCCTTCAGAAATAACCATCTGGAAATTTTGAAAAAAATAAAGGTTTATTGCTTATAGGATCTGGAAATTATACAACACACTTGGGGGCCCACAGGAGGTCATAGGTAAAGAGAGAGAGCCAGCATGGGCCTGGGGTTCTGCTTTTATTGAGGTAAAGGGTGGGTGCCTAGGATTTCATGGGCTCACTCTTTGTTGTTGAATTTAAAAAATAGGAGAGTTTAAAGCAAGGGAAGAGAAAACAACAAAACAAAACAAAACAAAACAAAACAAATGGCCCCAATTGTCACTTATTGAAATCAACTAAGATTTCTAAATTTAACAAAGGAGTCTCAGAGGGAGAAGTGGGCTGGCTACCTGGCTCTTTATCTAGTTGTGTGGCTGGCAATGTATTTATTAGAGAAAGCCATCTCTGAAGTGGATGCTTTAGCAATCAAAGCTTAAGTCAGACTCTTGCATTACAAAGAAGAAGGAAGGAAGGAAGGAAGGAAAGAGAGGAAGCCCACCCAACTGTCATAACTTATTCTACAAAAAGGAATAGTTCAGGAGGTGAAAGTCTGGAAAAGTGCATTGCCAAGGGAAGTGAGAGGATCACCCAGGAGGGACTGGTCAGCAGTATCAAATGCTAGTGCAAGGTCAGGCAGGGGAGTTGCTCAGTTAAGAGCAACAGAGAGGTTGGGTAGGATAAAAACTAAGAGGAAGCCTTTAGAATTGGCAGTTAGGAGGCCACTGATGAGTTCAGGAGAGCTGTTTTTGTGGTGCGGTGGGCCAGAAACCTTTTGCAATTGGATAAGAAGAAAACGTAAATGAAAGTGGAGAATTGGAATAAGCTAAAATCATTCATGTGAAGCTTGGTGGTAAAGACGAGGATGGCAGGACCCTGAGGGGGCAGGCAGGCTTCAGGAAAGCATGTTTGAGGGTGGAGGGAAAGGAGACAGTGGAGAGGGAGAAACTGAGGATACAAGCACATTCCCACGATAATGACACTATAGTGGTAGAGCCCGGAGGATACAGGAGCACACAGGGTGGAAAGAGGGGGTTTAGAACATTTGCTGTCAGGAATGTGAGCAAAGAGACCTCAGGGATGAGCGGAAGTGTTGCTGAGAAGGACTACTGACTAAGTCGATATCACATAACAGCTATTTGTGGATGGTTCTACCCAGTTCTTCAGGGTACGGGCCACATTTGACTCATCTTTATATCCCAGGGCCTCGAATAGTATTTTCTACATAGTAGGTACTTGGCAAATGCTGGTTTGAATGAAAAAGAAAGATCAAAGGAGGAGAAGAAATAAGTGGATAAGCGACTGACCGTTGTAGCAGGGATAGACAAAGCAGCCAGTGACATCTACGCAAGGTCAGGCAAGCTGATTACGGCTTACGATAAGGGGTGCAGACTCAGAAGTGGTAGAGAGGTCACTATTGAAATGACTGACCAGTGTGTGAGCTCTTTAGGGTGGGAAATGGAGCGACGAGGAGGCAACAGCCTGGACGAGTTGTCTGTGTCAGGTACTGATGATCAGTCATCATGTGGACACAGAGAGAGTTCAGTATGAGTTGCAGGAGCAGGAGAACTAACATTCTCCTAGCAAATATAATTTCAGCATTTAACATGGTGTTGAAATGGATCATGATCAAGTGTGAATTACTGATGTCAGATCCTGTCCTGTTTTTTAGAGATAGAGGGTGGACCTGAAGCTTAGAAGGGAAAGTTCGTCACCAAGTAAGGCTGAGAGCAAGGAGGGCTATATTGGAAACAAAGAAGGAAGGCTGCAGATTTCACAGTTTTGCCAATAATTGGCACTGTTGACTACAATTTAGAAAAGATAATTAAAAATAATCCAAGAGTTATTAAGACTCTGCCTCCCTCCCACCTTCCCTCCCTGCCTCTTTCTTTCTCCTTTTCTCTTTACCCATGGTGGATTTTGCTATAAATGACCCTTATTTTCAGAAAGTTTATTAATTGAAATAATGGGCCTATTTTCCAAACTTCTGAATATCTTATCATGATTTCATTATGTTGATAGAAAAGAAGTTTGTATATTAGAACCAGAAAGTTTTACTTTACCAATAGTTATTTTTATGTATCTGTGACATAATATGTCAGCAGCTTAATTTTCTTAGTTGCTAACTTGTTGTTAAACATAGTCTTTAATAAACTTAAAGAGTTGTGTGGGAGAAGTTGTTCCACAACCTTTTGCTGCTGTTTTGGGATCACTATGTAGCTATTAAGAACAAATCAATCTAAAAAGGCGTGTTTACATGCTAACTCATTTTATATTTATACTTGTAACACTGTTTACTTCCTTTTGCAGATTATATTCAGATATTTTGGCAGAGACTTCTTCAATCCTCTTATACCTTTTTCTTAGAAATATTTTTGTAACAAGTGACATTAAAATTAAAGAAGAAAATCTTTTCTGTGATAGTATTAAAGGCAATGAGCTTTTCCCCTCTCAACAAGTAAGTGATTTTAAAATGACCAAAAATGTGCTGATTTCCCTTTATTTGTTTCTTGACGTTTCAAATTCATGTTCTTTTGAGATTGCATATCCTGATTTGTGAATGGACTTAGAGGTCATTTTATGATTGTGCGGGTTTATTTGATATTCCATATAATGGTTTCATAGGACCAAGTTCATATATATTTTTCTTCTTTTCAGTTTATCTTTTGTGTCTATACAAAAGTAGTATAAATTTCAAATATTCAAAAAGTTAAATTTACAAAGTGAAATGCATTGTAATCCTATTACTCCTAAAAATACTATGATTTTGTTTGTTTTGTTTTATATCTCTGATTCTTAAAAATATGTGTGGTCAAATTATTATTATTATTATTTTACAAAAATGATATCACAATCTACTTTCTATTCCATAGTGTGCCTATTTAACATTTTTTATAATTTATCTTGAACATGTTTTCATGCGGGTACATATCGATTTCCCAAATTTTTTTCAAGTTCTTAGTTTATTAATCCTCTTATGACAAATCTGCACAATCACCACAGATAAAGTCATTGCAGAACCTTTACTCCTTCTGTTGTCCAATCTCCAGCTCACTTGTTGCCAGCACCAACACTGGCTTTGGCAGTCCCCCTGACCTTCTTCATTCTGTTCTTGTGTTCCTTTCTCTGTTTTCTTCAGGTCTTTTTCTGCTCACACAGGCCATGTCTTGCAAGTCTATGGTAGGGTTCATTTTTCTTTGCCAGTTGTCTCGCCACCACCCAAACAGGTTCTGACTCCAAATACAAAGATGACATCTGGTGTGTTCTTGTCCATTTTGTCTAGTTTTTCCTGAATTTCTGTCTCAGGTACTGTTGCCTTTCCTGGGTGAAGAACATCACTGAGCATTTGTTTTCATACCAAATTGTTTTTAATTTTAATATTGCATTCCTGTATAGAGGCAGGAATGTAACCTATCTCCTACTGATGGATTCTCAGGGTGGTTATAAATATTGCTGTCTGTACATCTGCAACCTTCTAACCTTAACATCTTGCTTTTAAAAATAGTCCTTGGGGCACCTGGGTGGCTCAGATGGTTGAGCGTCTGCCTTCAGCTCAGGTCATGATCCCAGGGTCCTGGGATCGAGTCCCGCATCGGGCTCCCTGCTCAGCGGGGAGCCTGCTTCTCCCTCTGCTTCTCTCTCTCTCTCTCTGTCTCTCATGAATAAATAAATAAAATCTTAAAAAAAAAAATAGTCCTTCACTCTTGTTTTCATTCTAGATTAAGCGTCTCTCTTCTTTCTCCCTCTCCTCTTTCCTTCTTTACTCACTTTAGACACAGCGAGACTTTTCCCAGGTGTTTGCTTTTCACAGTTGCTTTTTCCTACCCATGCATTTATTTATTTAATCAACCAATAAATTGTTACGTGAGATTATGCCAGTTCCTGTGGATACAAAAATGAAAAAAAAAAAAAAAAAAGACATGACCCTTTTGTCCAGGGCAAGTTCATAGTCTTACAGAGCCCAAGCACTCATAACCGTCAACCGACAGCATAAACATGCTGTCCATGTTTAAACATTCAGTCTGTAAATAAAGACAGTCTTTAAGTACTTCAATGGATTCCAGAATGCTAGACTACCATTCCACTAAAAATTTATTCTATGGAAATGTCTGGTTGGCCCTTATAAGTTTTCTTTGTACATAATTTTGTATGTATATATAGAAAAATGGGGCACCAGAGTGGCTCAGTAGGTTGGGCATCCGACTCTTGGTTTCGGCTCAGGTCATGATCTTAGGGTCATGGGATGGAGCCCCGTGTGTTGGGCTTCACACTCAGTGGGGAGTCTGCTGCTCTCTTTCTCCCTCTGCCCCTCCCCCCACTTGCATGCTTGCTCTCTCTCTCTCTTAAATAAGTAAATAAATCTTTCAAAATAAAAGGCAAGAAGCATAGTGAAATCTTCCCTCAGGAAAGGGAAAGGAAAAGTTAGATAGGGTCCCTATTTTTTTAAAGTAGCTTAATTACAAAAGCCTAACTTTCTATTTTACTACCATTTTTATTTAAGTAGCAAAAGTATAATAGAAGATTAGTTTGGTCTACTGAAAATTTATCATTTTTTTTTCACAAATCCAGAAAGAAAATGGGAGGGGCAATATTAAGAGAGACATAATATTTTAATTATTATTTGTTATAACATTTATGTTTTGAAAAAACTAGGTTTTTTCTAACATTAAAATATAGCCAAGTTTTTATTTTACCAATTAAAAAAGATCAGTTCTTTCTTCATTACTAGTGGTATTTGTATTATTTTACAAAATATTCTGAAGTTTAAGTCTAAGGTTGTCTTACCCATATGTAGCACTGTTGGGGAGTTAGAATTGTTCTTAAATTTAGATCTTGATTTAAAATCAACATCTTAACATACCAACATGTTGTTAAGCCACAAGGATCACATTTCCTACCCTTTCTTCTCCTTAGAGACAAATTGATGAAGCACCTGATTTTCACTTTGAGTAACAATATCTGTTCCGTTACAGATTACTAGACTAATTGAATGTGAGAGAGTATTAGTGGCATTGGAACTTAGCAACTACCTAAATGATTCCAGTTATGCCCTTCAAGCTGTGACTCAATGTTATGGCCTTCTTGCTCCTATAATCTACCACAATATTGTTTTGGTACCTGTCATACAGGTAAGCATATTTATACCCTTAGATAAGGGTATTTTTACAAAGGCAATTCAGCAATGCATTTTGGAAAAGAAAAAGCAATGTATCTTTTGTAATGCACAAATAGGTCAAAGACAGGTGTTAGGAAACTTCATGAGTTAACTGAAAAACATTTTAATAATTTAAATTATGTCTGGGCAAACATAAATAAGGACTAAAATGTATTTCTCTGAAAACATTCAGCCCCATTGCTGTCCATGTTTAAACATTAGCAATCTGCTTTTCTAGGTTTTTAAAGTCATTTCAGTTTTTATGCTTGTGTAATGTTAGAAACAGCAATACTTATTCAAAAACATATTGTTAAAGCCATCATCATGTAGGGAAGAAATTGGTGGATGACCCAAGAAAAAATATTTGGTTTCTTGGTGATGGAGGAGTTGGAATTTATGGAAAAAGAGTAGGTGAGAGCTGGCTGAAGGGATTATATTAGTTGTCTCTTCTTTCTAACAAATCAGTGGCTTACAACAAATCCATTTACTATCTCATAGTTTCTGTGGGACAGGAGGCTGGATACGGGTTGACTGGGTCTTCTCCTCAGGGTCTCATCAGGCTGAACTCAAGGTGTTGGCCAGAGCTGTGATCTTACTTGAGGCTCTGGTGCCTCTTCCAAGCTCACTGGTTGTTGAGAGAATTCATTTTCTTGTGCTCCTGTGAAAGGGGATCCTTAGCGCCTAACGGCTCACCACCAGTTCCCTGCCACATGGTCTTCTCCACAACGTGGCAGTCTGCTGCCTCAAGACCAGCAGGAGAGCCTCGTCTAATATGCATGAGGAGTCTTACATAACATAAGGTAGTCATGAGAGTGATGATCTCATCATAGTCACAGGTCCTACCCACTCACAAGGTGGAGGGATTATACAGGGCTTGTACACCCGGGGGAGGAATCTTGTGGACTGTTTTAGAATTCTGCCTAACCCAGGGATATCATGAGAGAAGTAAGGTTTCGCTGCTGATACTTTTAGAAAGTTTTTATCGTCATCATTGTCATCATTATGATCATCATCAACTCAGATTTTGAGAACCAAGAAGATGTGACTGAACTCATGCACAGCATAAAGATTTTTAATTCACCATTGAGAAAACTAACCAGGGGACTTAAGTAATTTAACAAATATTTGCCTTGGAGTGGCTATGCTGGAGCATAGACATACCTCCTTCTCCCACATTCCCCACGTTTAGGAGTTCAGTTGCTTAGGAGATCGGCCTCCAGAATCCGAAATCTAAATTCATAGTTGGCAGCCTTCCATGTCATTTGTAGATGGATTGTAGAGCAGCATTCTCAAGTATAGGAAATGCTTCCTCCAGAACCCAAAGGCATTTACCTGGCATTGTCCTTTCTTCTTAGAGGTGAGAGATGCCATATGTCAGACTTAGTTTGGATGGGGTGTCTCAGCAGACCCCAGATAGTTCATTAATGTGGCAGCTTCCTGAATCTTCACAGGGTTTATTTCTATCCTCTGGAGGGTATGTATCTTACCAAGGTCTTTAATGTACTTGCCATTTCTTGCTCTTTAGTTTTGATTAACATGTTATTGATGTAATTGCCAATGTTTTGTTTTGAGACATGCCCAGAGAGTTCAGGTCCTTTCATAAAATATGTCAGAGTCTGGGAGAATTTCCATGGCCCTCAGGCAAGATGCTAAGTATATACTTTTGTCTTCCCAGTATGAATGGGAACTTCTTCTGGTACTTCTTACTAGTAGGACAGAAAAGAGAACATTAGCCATAGCAATGCATAGCTTTTAATGTCCTCTTGTAAGGATACCACATTGGGACCAGCAGCTGCAGCTGGTGCTCAGTTGGTCAAGTTCAGGATAATCCACTGTCATCTTCTAGCATCCCACTGACTTAGGGTGCCTTTAGCTACAGCTCAGAGAATGGGTTATAGCTATGAGGAAAAGCCTTGAGAAGGAAGTTTCTAATTAAATTGTATTGTTTGGAATAGGAAAAGTGAGTGGAACACAGAGGAGATTCTAGAAATAGGCCTCAATATGGATGAGAATTTAATATATGACAGAATTGGCGTTCCAATTCAGTGGAAAGAGACTGGATATTTTTAGTAAAGGATGGTGAAACCCCTGGATATTCATCTGAAAGAAAATAGAGTTTGACACCCATATTGTACATATATAAAAAGTCCAGATGTACTAAAAAGTTAGGGGGAAAATCACAGATTACATGTGTAATCCAGGGTTGTGGGAATCCTTTTTAAGTAAGACAGAACTCTTAGAAATAACAAGAAAAATAAGATATATTGACTATATTTATGGCAGCCTATGTGTGACAACATGGACCATAACAAAGATAGTATAAAATTTGTGGATTTAGGACAAATATCTAACAAGGATTTTTATATATATTACTGACAAGGATAAATACATATAACAAAAAGTCTTAAAAATTGACAATAACTTAATAAAAAAATGGCCACAGGATATGAATAGGCAGTTTACAGGAGAGCAAATCCAAGTGGCCAAGAACCATGAAAAGATGCTCAAACTCTGAATATCCTTAGAAATGCACATTAAATGAACAATGTAATATTGCTGACAGAATTGAAAAGATCTGTAACTCCTCTTGCTGGTGACGATGTGAGGCAAAGACATTCTCATTCATTGATGGGGAACATGTGAATTGTTGTAGGCTTTGGATTTTGGTAAAGCAATCTTAATTAAGCTAAATCTAATTTTAATTAAAATTAAAAACAAATATACTTGACGCAGCAATCCCTCTATTAGCAATTTATCCCATAGAATAAAATTACCAGTTAGTAAGATACCTAGTTCCACCCCTTGGTTCCCAGATTCACGTGTTCTACCTGCTGGGCACACAACGCCACATAAATGTCATTGATTTAGAGTGTTTACTTTGCCCTGGAAGATGGTGCTTCATCCTCACTAGGTATCATCTCAAATCTGGTGCTGAAGTTGCCACTCATATTGGCAACTGAGCATGTACAAGGGTGTTTCTTATGGCCTTTTTTGTCGTGGCAAAAAAAAAAAAAGCTGGAGACAAAGAGAAAGTGCAGTAGCAGGAGGATGGCCAGTATATATACCAGATTGTAAAATGTCAGCCGTAAAAGTGTGTGCAACATGGAGATTCTGGAAATGGCTGAATAAATGATGGTTGTTCCACATTAAATCATATTATGCAGCCATTGGAAATAATGAACTTGAACTATACCTGTAGACTTGGAGGGATTTTTCACAAGACATGGTTGAAGGAGAAATGCACAGTTCAAACAAGTGTTTATGAATTCCATTTTGTGACATAACATTAACTCCCTCTCTATGTATGTTTATGTATATATATGATTATATGAGCCTGGAGAAAACTACAAAACTACTGGGTTGCTAACATGATTTGGGGATATGGTGTAGTGGGGTGGGGGTGTGTGGTGATGGGGAGGAATTAAAGAAGCATTACAAATACTCATAAGTGTATGGTAACAATAGTAATAATGTTAGAATGGTAGCTTGAAGCAATTAGGGTGCCCACAAAAGACCAACATCCATAGGTTAATTTGTCTTTTGATAATCTGGATGATTAATAGATTGAGGGCAATCTCAGCCCTACTTTTCTGACAGTAATGTTGCTCAGAACAGTGCAAAGTATTGAAAGGTAAACTTAGTTATCTCTCTCTCTCTCTTTTTTTTTTAAGATTTTATTTATTTGACAGAGAGAGACACAGCGAGAGAGGGAACACAAGCAGGGGGAGTGGGAGGAGAAGCAGGCTTCCCGCGGAGCAGGGAGCCCGATGCGGGGCTCGATCCCAGGACCCCGGGATCATGACCTGAGCAGAAGGCAGTTGCTTAATGACTGAGCCACCCAGGCACCCCAATTATCTATCTCTTGATCAAATTCAGGATCTCATAATAGGAGGCAAGGGGACTAGGAAGTAAACACCAATATTTATGGGATATGGGATATGAATGCTTGGTTTTAATCTTAAAGGAAACTATTTTTTCAAGTACCTGGTATCACTGTATATATAATATGATACATGCTTCTCTAAATGGTTTTTTAAGGTCCTCTGAAGCCTGGATGTGCCCTTAGAATCTTGTATATGTAATATTCTGCCTATATTTTTTATGACACTTGTCAAAATGTGCTATTTTGTAATCTTTGTATACTTATTTTATCTTCTACACTAGTTTTCAAGTTACTTTAGTTGAGGAGCTCATCTGAAATTGAATATATTAATTTTATCTCAGAGTACGTTCTTTTATACATGATAAGCAATTTATTGACAATTATTGATAATAATAAAATTTGATGGTTTAAAACTTGCTGATTTGAATAGAACACTTCCTAATGAGTGAGCGTGATATTTTTCAACAGAAACTATTGTGCTTCTATTTTTTAGATCTTGATAAAGTGTGTAGTGGCTTTGCAAGGATTACCAAATATCCACTCAAAGAAACATATTGCAAGTTTTGAAAGTGTACAGCACATGATAGCCTGTTGTATCTTCTACATAACAAAGGTATTTATCTCATTCTTTGTCTAGTGTCATAAAATTTAGGAATAGCAATGATTTAGAAAGTTAAGTTACTTTTATTACATAAAATACTTTTAAAAATAGTACCCACAAAGCATTTTAGGTCAAGAGTTGCCTGAATGGGTCAGTTGGTAAAGCCTGGAGAGTGTATCTTAGGCCAGGGGAAGGATTGGGAAAGAGTACATTTTATGGGACCTCATTCAGCTCGGAACAAGAAAGAACCAAGAGACCAGAGGCGGAGAGGTAAGCTTATTTATCCTCATTGCTTGGCTCAAAGACCAGCATTGTGTGTTTCTTCAAAGGCTTTAGTTGACTGAATCTGGTGAATTTCCTCAAAGAAGGGCCATATTTGCCTGCCTGTTTTATATGGTCCTCACAGGACCTTTGTGATTTGGTAGGGATCTGAAAGAATACTGCATGGGTGGGCTGATTTGATCCATCACTTTAATTGGGACTTAAGTTTGCTTCAGTGAAGGTCTGGAAACAGAGAGGCCTTTACCTTCTATCTTAGCAAAAAAGTCATGATTTGCTGTCTGTTTATGGCCTGACCTCAGGAGCAGAAAATCATATTCTTTCCATTGCTCACTGGTTTACCACTGCTGGAGACACATCTTTAACCTTGTCTGTGCAAATATGGAGGGAGGGTAGCCATTAGCAGGAAGAGAAAAATAATAACTTATTTAACAGGACTCAGAACCCCAAGGGGCAGGCCAAACACCAGACTAATTGTGTTTTTACTCTATGTTGGAAAAGACCAGAGGTGACTTGAAAAAAAAAAGAAGAAAGAAAACTTTCAAGATGGTGTGATGCAATTAAATGATCAAAACAAAACAACAGAAGATCTTATGTAACTAAACAAAAAATATTTGATTTTTGATTAAAAAAAATTAAACAGATGAAGATTGTGATTAATGGTATTTCTTGAGTAAAATCTGGAAGCTCAAGAAATACCTGACAGCATAGAATGGAATTACCTAGAGGTAAATTCGGAAGCAGACCCAAAAGTCCTAACATGAAATAAAAGTTCTGGAGGCAGGAAATTAAAAAAAAAAAAATGGAGAATAAGTCTCCCTAAGTCCTAGGCTGGATTAATTTAAGAACTTATGTCTTGAACCATGAGAGACTATGGACTCTGAGAAACAAACTGAGGTTTCTAGAGGGGAGGGGGTGGGGGTATGGGTTAGCCTGGTGATGGGTATTAAAGAGGGCACATACTGAATGGAGCACTGGATGTTACACACAAACAATGAATCATGGAAGACTACATCAAAAACTAATGATGTAATGTATGGTGATTAACATAACATAAAAAAAAAGAACTCATATCTTGACACTTGCTGGTGAGATTCTTGGAGTCCAAGGATAAATTAAAATCTCAAAGTTTTGAGACCAAAGAACAGGTTATTTGCAATGGTAAGAGAATCCATTAGCTTCAAACTTTTTATCAGCAGTAGAAGTAGAACAGTAGAAGATAAAATACTGGAGCAACATTTGTAGAATCCTGAGGGGATAAGATGGAGGTCCAAAAACTAATAACGAGGAAAGATATCATTTCTTTGTCTTTGGGCAAAATAAACATTTTCAGGGGTGCAGCATCTCAAA